TGTTTGCGTTTAAAAAGAGAGGAAGACGGAAAAGAGATCGTTAATAGCAGTACTACACACGGAACGGTGCGAGGACCAGAACACCCAGTCAGCAACGAAACACGTCCTAAGCAGCCTCCCAGGCAGGCTGGCAAGTACCGCAGAGCCGGACAACATCCCTCCTCTGGAGCCTCCGTGGGAGTTTGCCGCTGACTTCAGCCAGATCTGACCTACCACCGAACGGATGGAACAAGAGGGTCACGCAGGATGAGGGGCTGTTCTTTGGTGCACGTCTCGCTGTAGGCTGTAAGACACAGGTTGTACATACTCATCTCCTGGAGTACAGCGTCACCCTGTACAAGACTAGATTATTCTTTTCCCCCAAAGAAAACAAGATGTCAAAACCGCGTGCACTTTGCAAGACACCACATGCACATCTATCCCTTTTCTAACCCACTGACTCCCACACCAAAACGTGGTCAGCTCAGGAACAAATTAACAAAGAAAAGTAACCCATGCAGCAAATCTACTTCATTTCTGTTGGTCGTCTCGTCCCAGCTTCTGCTCTATCAGGCCAGATAAACATACTGCAAGTTGCCAGCACGAAGTATCTGCCTCTGCAAAGCAAAAACGAAGCCAGGAGACCTGGGGGCTCGGGACTGGCATGGGGAATCCTGAAGAGGGGAGTGCCATGCACAGAGACCTGCAAAATCAATTATTGCATCAGCAAAACCAGCCAAAACAAAAACCCCAAAAAACCATCCAAACAAACATTGTCAACCATTAAAATAATAAAAAACCTTTTTTTTTTTGACATAGCTATAAAAATCAAATCATTTATAAAACTGCAACAAATGAAGTCCGGTTGTGTATTCTTTTTCCTTTTATTAGACAGGACAGAGAATTTCCTTAAAATGCCATAACAAGTCACAGTGATTTTAGATGGTTTTTTGAAATGTAATATATTGATGGGAAATACCTTTAACATGGTTGATTTTTTTTTTTTTTTGTCACTGTATATGTACCCTGGTCCACCAAACCATCTATCTTAAAGTTTCTTGTTTAGAGAGGATACTCTGTCTTCTTCCTCCAAAAATGAATTTTGTCTAATAATCCTGCAAAATAATCAACCTTACAAAAGGCCTTCTTCAAATGTTATATTTATATATATATGTATATACATATATATACACACACATACACACATATATATAAATATAGACTTCTATGATTTTTTTTCCCATTCTACGCAACGTCTCAATAAAGAGATCAGCAATTTTTATTCTACAAAGAAGCAACACATAAAAGGGGAAAATTAAAGTCTTAAGAACATCATATCCATATTTCACTGATTACACATAAAAGGAAAAAAAATCACCATGAACAACTGTCTTTGAAGTTTTCTCGGATTAGCAAAATTCAAGTGCAGAGAGGCCCCGTCTGGCCGCCAGCGGCGGGCTGGTTCCTGGGCGGCTGAGGACAGCCCAGCCCGGCGTCCTGCCGCTCGGCGCTTTCCGCACTGCCCTCCCGCAGAGTCGGACGTGGTTGGAATGTATGGAGTTTAGGAAAGGTTCCCAACAAAGACCTCGCCGTCGGACGATTCCCTCTAGGCCAGCTTCAGCGTGCTCACTGGGAATGATGGCATCGTTACCATAGTCACCGGGTTTAGGACCGTCTGCCCAACTAACTGCGGGTGATGGACGACTTGGGTTCCTACAGCAGGCTTGGCCATCATGGCTTGCTGGCCAAGGTTTGTGGTTCCATTCACTTGCTGGTGCGAGATGGTGTGAGCGATGTGGCTCACGACGGGCTGGCTGACAGCCACGGGCTGAGGGTAGATGGGCAGCTGCTGGCCGAGGTGGGCCATGTGGTTGATGGTGGCTGGGTGCACAGTGATGTGGCCGATCGGCTGAGCAGCAGTGGTAAGTTGCACGGGGCTGGACGTGGAAGGTGCAATGTGAGCAATGTGCTTGGTCTGTGGACCCTGAATCACGTGGTTGACAGTTTGAATGACCGAAGCGTGGGTGGTGGCGGTGTGGGCGATAACAGTCGATTGCACTGTCGAAGCCGCCACGATGTGAGTCTGTGCAGGGACGATCGCCGGCGGCTGGACCAGTGCTTGTGTCTGGATGGGAGGCTGTGCGTGGGCTGGGGGCTGTTTC